CTTAGGACTGCATTTAATAGTTTCTCTTCATGACAGAGAAGGCTCATTCCAAATTGAACAAATATTACAAATAAGTGAGGTTTTTTTAGTATTTTCTATTACGTTCTTATATTCCAAATAAGTGAGCTTTTTTCGGTATTTTCTATTTAATATACGTTCAATGCATATTCATTTCGCTGAAATGCTTATTCAGCCCTCTGCGTTGTGCTAGTTTACATCGCCAATTTACATGYTGAGTGCATGGTTATCTTAGCAAAAAGATCAGAAGAGTAATCCCAGCATGTGTGGTATCTAAGATAAGATCTACCTTCCCTGAATGTATGAGGAAGATACTGGCTTTAAAGAAGATGGAAGTGAAGATGAAGTTGCTGACACGTACACCACATCGATTCCTTGAAGCCTTTCCTCGTTCGCCACTTCTTCTAGCTCACTTTCCTGGCTCACACTTTCATCGGGTGTATTATATTCTTCTCCTCAAGCAATTTCCGGCTCAAATTGATAAAGAACAGCCATACTTCCATAGCGAAATTTGGCTGATTCAACTCCAGCTATCCAACATGTTCCACTATCTGACGTCATCACAGCCCAGGCATCCCAAGCCATCAAATCCGCGATATTCCACAGGGAGCCCAGCTTAAGTCATTTCGCAACTTTGACGGACAATATCACCCCAAAAAACGCATTTCATGGAATTTTCATTTCGATTTTCAAAATCAACAAGGTTTGATGTACATTTTAAGCTATGATGTGTCTGGCACCTCAGAGTCCCTTTAAACTGTTGGATATAATAGTCTTATTTCAGAAGGTAGAGTCCCACACTTTTAAGCCATCATAGCAAAGAGCTCTTTTTTTTGAAATGAGAGCTAGGTTTTGATAATTTCAGGCTCTCCTACCTTCTTTGTAGGTTGTGTTTCATGGAACTCGAAGAGGTATTTCAAAGATTAGGGCGAAGATGAGAGAGAAAAGTGTTCTAAGCGTTCCATCGTATTTTCTTCTAATGCATGATTTTCATTGTTTATACAGGATTTACCCATGGCCGTGACATTCAAGTGCTGTGTGATTTTCCTCTTCAGCTGTAGTGCATTCCAACATTGGATGTACAAAGCTTGTCCACAGACAAATAACAGTTCAACAAGACAACAAGTTTTAGGTATTGATAACAATGATCTTCTTTCCTCATTTAATTTCTTTTTCCTTTTTTCGTTTGCCGTATTCCTTACTCCTTCTTTGTTTGTAGTTCTTCCAGAGGGCACTGAAGAAGTATGATATGTCAATGACGTCACAAGGCCACGTAATACGTGGGTTCCGCAATTCATTTTTACATCGACGCACAATATACCTTTTCCCCCTTGGTGTAATGTTTTACCATTTCAGACCACGTGTGATTCTCTTAAAGATAAGAATCTTTTTTGAAAGTTATATCCATATTCATGTGTCTTCTCATGTGAAAAAAATGATACTCCAGGGAATGACACGTAGTCTGAAATATAAAAATATTACACCAAAAGTAAAGAGGTCTATTCTGAAGTATAAGCTTGAAGATGCCTCAGGGCGCTGAGACAATCGTCGTTGGCCCTCTCCCTTCGCCCAAGGCCCCCCTATCTGATGCTATGAGAATTAAGGCATCGCGTCGGTCCTTGAGATCATGTACAATGGATTTCAAAGCTGTTGTTGAGACTGGTTTATTCTTGGAAGCAAATGCACTAAGATAAGAATACGAAAATAACAGACGACTCTTCGTAAACTGAGGTTTTTACTACTTACCATGTTTCGTCAAAACGTTTGCCATCTTCAGAAGTGCAAAGAGAGTCTAAAGAAATGAACTACATATATAATACTGTAAAGCAAAGTTACGAAGCTTTTACGAAGTGTCGTCTGTTATTTTCGTATTCTTATATATTTGCTCCTCTTAAGACCGTTTGGATAAAGGTAACTGGAAACCTGTAGTTTTTACTTTGCAAACATCGTCAGAAATTAGGGACGTTTATGAATTTGCAGTACTACGTCAGCGGTATCCGTACTGTTTCTATAACTCTATATGTTATCCACCATAATTATGTATTGCTTTGCCCCCAAGACGGCCCATAATGCCTAGTAATTCAAAATAGACCATTCTTGTTAATTTCTGGCGATGTGCACAAAATTCTTCAGCGTGCTTTGATTTTCATTACGAGAAAGAAAAAAAAATTTTTTAGGGTATGTAGGGTAGAAATGTAGATTAATTTTAATAAGGAATTCTTTAAAATGTTGAGGTTTAAATAAGGATTGCAGCCAAATATTTTCGTTCCAATTCGTTGTAAATAGAATTTATAATAACATGCTTTAAACATGATTGAGATAGAGAGAGATAAATAAGGTGCACTGTAATTGGGTACAAGAAAAAAATATATGATATATTTTATCACAACTGCTAGAGTACAAACACTATAAGTGTGTAACATAAATACCACTAAATACTGCTAAATTATGCTAATTCTATTGTTTTCTATTGTTTAATTAGCACTATTTCTAAATAGTGCAAAGTTTTGCACACTTTTAGTGCTTGTACTCTAATGATTTCTGATTGGTTGATTTAGGTTATCTAAAAATTAAATTAAATATAAAAGCTTTAAATCCTTGCATTAATTTAAAAGCCGTCAATTTAAAATCTCTTTGCTTATTCCTCAATCTCGTACTCGAGCCTGCGTTTCTTCTTGCCTGCGGCGAAGAACGAGGCATAGTCCTTTTTCGGCGCATGCGCAATTTTCTGAAAGTGAAATATAACCAATGAAAGTAATCATAGTAAAAATCAAAGTAAAAAGAAAAGTAAAAATTAGAAATCGTGAACATTTTTTTGGACCTGCGCATACCACGGGAGTTTAGTCATCAGAAAAATAAATCGAGGTTCGCTGGTCATAGCAAGGGGTTAATCTTACACGGCTTAGGGGCCGATTAACCTCTCCCTTAGGCTTCGGCTGAGCTCTCTGATCAGTCATTATGGATAGCGGTGTCGGGGTCGAAATCTCCGGCGTAGCCGTAAATGTTTCGCGCTGCCATACTGCGCTTCGGCACTCGATGTCTGGAGGTATGGTCCTAATCAATCAATAAAAGTAAGCTATTAACTATAGTTCCAAATGCTAATCATTGACCAAAGTTGTCTGGTTTGGAGTCTTAGAATAATACCGAGTTTGAAAAGCATAATTAAAAATAAAAAAATCATATGTTTTACATATAAAGTGGTTTTTTTTTTTTTTTTTTGCTTCTAGAATAAGCTAAATTAGGGATCAAATGTGTCAGAGTCAGAGTGTTTTGGTGATGATAGAGTGGATTCTTGGTAATATCAGGGCAGGAAGTAATTGTTCTTCTCCAAACAGCAGGATGCAATCTTCATAAGAGTTTCATAAAGGAAGGAAGGTTTTTAGATGTTTAAAAAAAAAATTGTTGAACTTGACCTCGTTTTATCATCATTTTTGTCGTTCCTGCTGAAACAGGGGTAGACTGTATATAAGTATCCTAAAGAACTCGAGGTCGGTGCTCTTAAGCAATCCCATATGTAAGTTAGCCACGTGTCCTGACTTTGAACAGTCCACAGGCTGTTTGAGGGTATCCGGATAAAACTTGGAGGGTACTTATGGTCTGTCACATAAGACGGATATCATTTGACGATAAGTTTATTTTCTGTAATGATCCATTGGATTTTGTCTATAATTACGTTCCTTACCTATAGCATTACATGTAGTTCTTAGGGTACATGTTACGTCATAGCCGCCATGTTGGCTGACAAACGGCCTTATTATTAGCTTCTCTTGTTAGATCGACCAACATGGCGGCTGTATCATTGTTATGAAATATCTCAAGGGATTTCGAGTCATGTGGTTGTCCCCAAGAATATTCAGTTGAAAACTATAAGATTAAACTAACTTTGACATTCATAAAACACAGAAGATTTGCCAGTATGCGAGCGGCAGTCTTTGATGTCATATTTGTGAAAGGCAATTTGAATGGACAGAAATAAAACAATTAATAAGCTACATTACGTCTGCAGGTTCAATTGATATGTTCCACTTAGTGACGTTAAATCAGCTTAATCGGCTATGCTCGATATTATTTTTCTGTTGGCAAAATTCCTCTGCCATTTTAGTGACTTCGATCACGCAATATATATCCCAGCAGACACGTGATAAACCTTTTTGTTTCGTTATGCGCGAAAAGCATGATAGAATTCAGTAATAGATTCCTTTTTGCACGCACGCACGAGTAGCTTGCCTCGGATTAAGTGGCATTAGCATATAAGTAAGTGACGCTAATTTAAATTCAGTTCGTCGAGTTTCAGAGCAAGCTACCGGGTAAGTCAGATCGCTTCAACTTTCAATATATTTTTCTAGATATGAGTAACGCTTTATTTTTGCTTCGCTTTTTTTAGATTTCGAACAACTCGCATATCCAACTCGCAACTAGCAACTAGATTCTAGCTTAGCTTTATGTACGTAAGAAGAGAATAAAGTTCTGAAACCGTAGCTTGTCATATTTCGTTTATTGACGAAACACTTTTACAGTCGTCTATTGATTCGCCTGGAATTGGTCCAGCGTCTATACAAACGTCACTTCTTTCAACATTTATAAGACAAAGTGCACCGCTTCCCATTCCCACACTGAAGAGATATCTTATACTTCTATACATCAGAAATATACGTACCTAATGCTGATGATTAACAAGATGCGGATAAATTCCACAATGGCTCCGTCTCTAAACGGCTTTTGCACGCAATGCATGGTAAGCAGTGTTTGTTAAATTTCATTTTTAAATCTATTTCTGTGACCGGATCTTAGATTTTTACACTACAATATTCACACGATTTTCAATTCTGATATTTATTTTCACGGATGAACTCGGTATTCGAGTCTTTTTTATTTAACTGCAAAAAACTAAAGCCGTAAGAATTATTCATCAGTATTTAAATCGAAAATTAATTTTCTAAGTTAGTAAGAAATAATAACAACAATAAAACTAAAAAAGCGGTGAAGGAAATAGAATTAATAATTAGCATAAATGCTTATTCAAATGAAATTTTTGTCAGGCAAATGAAAAATTACCAAAGTAGAAACGGTAAATCTTGAATAATTCTTGAACAAGACCCTGCTGGCAGGGTAAGCTGGGATACCTGGATACCTGGAGGACCTGGTTTTAACATACATGTAGGATTTAGTTGGTTGAGCTTCCAAAAATACTGATAAAGCATTTCGTGACGTCTCAAAGTAGTGATAAACCAAACCCTGATTGGAATGGTTTACTAGTATCAGGGTCTCGAAAAAAAAAAAAAAAAAAAAAAAAAAAAAAAAAAAAAAAAAAGTTGCAAAATTTCGAACGACAGTGTTAAAAGCCGCTTGCAGGCACAGCGTTTATGCCATACTAATCAAAAAACTCAATCTGGAACTCCAATTCCAGTTCCGGGATCCTGATTTTGGCATACGTAATTAGCTTGTTGTTATGCAACGTCTCAAAAGCATGCACATTCGCACGGGTCTCTTTAAAATCAAAATGCTTCATGTAAAACGTAAATAGAGGATATTACTTGGGCGCGCGGAGATACGAAATTTATCTTTGAGTGTTGAAAAGATCTCTCAAGAGTGAGCGCAGCGAACGAGTGAGAGATTTTCAACACGAGAAGATAAATTTCGTATCTCCAAGCGCCCATGTAATATTCTGTTTATTATATAATTATCAATGAAGTATGTTTTGGCTTTTTCAGGCAATTCTTTCCGTGTATTTTCGAATAGCCATCGCAATGGTGTTATTTTCACGTGTGAAGATATCAATTTTTCGAAATAGAGAAAAATAGATATTTCATTGGTAATTATATAATAAATACAGGCTAATATTTGCTCAAACCCTCTCTCATAATTGCTTTACATTTTATAATTTTATAATTTATCGATATTTTTTAATGAATAGCCATTTTTTTGAAAAAAGATTAAGGCCCCGTCCACACGTATCCGGAAATTTTTGTATCCGCAAATTATTTTTTGCGGATACGAAAATGTTCGCGTCCACACGCAGCGTATTCGAATCGTTTTCACCGTCCACACGTATCCGTTTTTGTAAAATTTGCGGATACGGTCACAAAAATTTCCGGACACGTGTGGACGCAACCCGTATCCGTAAAAAAAAAATTTGCGGGTACAAAAATTTCCGGATACGTGTGGACGGGGCCTAAAGGAGATCATATACGCTTCGAACGGAGATCCAGCCCTGGAATGTGCGTAGAAAATTATTTATTTTGCTTCTTAAATCAAATAGAATCTTAAAATAAATATTGCTATGTTCCTTTGTGAGTAGACTTTGAAGCCAAAACATTTAATATAAATACATAAATATAGGTTATAAGACTATATTGTAAAGTTCAAGAGAATATTAACGAGTCATACTGAATGAAATATTTGTTTACTATCGCTTATCGTAATTCTGACTCTTTTGAAAACCTGTTCTCCTCATCGATCTTCGCTTGTTCGTGCAGAAAATACTGTTCGAGTAGATGAATCATGAATAGTTAACCAAAACAAGCTTTTGCCCATGAAGTTCATCGTAAATTCTTAGAAATAATCGCTTCGAAATTCTCGGTATCAGTTCTCGGCTTGAAATCTTTTTTTACGAAATTCATAAATAATATTTCTAGTTCTGCTGTATTGAATTACGGCGGTCAACGAAATAGAGCATGCGTAGATTTAAACCTGTGCCACGTGATATGCTAGCTCCACCCTCTCTAAATCACTTGACAACATAGTGACATTGATTGACATCTGGTACATGATAATTGATTGGACTA